ACTTTGGTCACACTTCACAGACACGCACATGCATATATATATACATACATCTAGGTTTTTCTCCTTTTTCTACATAGCTCTTGTTCTTCTTTATTTCTTCTATTGTCCATGGGGAAGTGGAAAAGAATCTTTCCTCCATAAGTCATGCGTGTTGTATAAGGCGACTAAAATGCCGGGAGCAATGGGCTAGTAACCCCTTCTCCTGTAGACATTTACTAAAAAGAGAAGAAGAAAAACTTTATAAAACTGGGATGCTTAAATGTGCGTGGATGTAGTGCGGATGACAAGAAACAGATGATTGCTGATGTTATGAATGAAAAGAAGTTGGATGTCCTGGCCCTAAGCGAAACAAAGCTGAAGGGGGTAGGGGAGTTTCGGTGGGGGGAAATAAATGGGATTAAATCTGGAGTATCTGAGAGAGTTAGAGCAAAGGAAGGGGTAGCAGTAATGTTGAATGATCAGTTATGGAAGGAGAAAAGAGAATATGAATGTGTAAATGCAATAATTATGTGGATTAAAGTAAAGGTTGGATGCGAGAAGTGGGTCATAATAAGCGTGTATGCACCTGGAGAAGAGAGGAATGCAGAGGAGAGAGAGAGATTTTGGGAGATGTTAAGTGAATGTATAGGAGCCTTTGAACCAAGTGAGAGAGTAATTGTGGTAGGGGACCTGAATGCTAAAGTAGGAGAAACTTTTAGAGAGGGTGTGGTAGGTAAGTTTGGGGTGCCAGGTGTAAATGATAATGGGAGCCCTTTGATTGAACTTTGTATAGAAAGGGGTTTAGTTATAGGTAATACATATTTTAAGAAAAAGAGGATAAATAAGTATACAAGATATGATGTAGGGCGAAATGACAGTAGTTTGTTGGATTATGTATTGGTAGATAAAAGACTGTTGAGTAGACTTCAGGATGTACATGTTTATAGAGGGGCCACAGATATATCAGATCACTTTCTAGTTGTAGCTACACTGAGAGTAAAAGGTAGATGGGATACAAGGAGAATAGAAGCATCAGGGAAGAGAGAGGTGAAGGTTTATAAACTGAAAGAGGAGGCAGTTAGGGTAAGATATAAACAGCTATTGGAGGATAGATGGGCTAATGAGAGCATAGGCAATGGGGTCGAAGAGGTATGGGGTAGGTTTAGAAATGTAGTGTTAGAGTGTTCAGCAGAAGTTTGTGGTTACAGGAAAGTGGGTGCGGGAGGGAAGAGGAGCGATTGGTGGAATGATGATGTAAAGAGAGTAGTAAGGGAGAAAAAGTTAGCATATGAGAAGTTTTTACAAAGTAGAAGTGATGCAAGGAGGGAAGAGTATATGGAGAAAAAGAGAGATGTTAAGAGAGTGGTGAAGCAATGTAAAAAGAGAGCAAATGAGAGAGTGGGTGAGATGTTATCAACAAATTTTGTTGAAAATAAGAAAAAGTTTTGGAGTGAGAATAACAAGTTAAGGAATCCTAGAGAACAAATGGATTTGTCAGTGAAAAATAGGAGAGGAGAGTTATTAAATGGAGAGTTAGAGGTATTGGGAAGATGGAGGGAATATTTTGAGGAATTATTAAATGTTGATGAAGATAGGGAAGCTGTGATTTCGTGTATAGGGCAAGGAGGAATAACATCTTGTAGGAGTGAGGAAGAGCCAGTTGTGAGTGTGGGGGAAGTTCGTGAGGCAGTAGGTAAAATGAAAGGGGGTAAGGCAGCCGGGATTGATGGGATAAAGATAGAAATGTTAAAAGCAGGTGGGGATGTAGTTTTGAAGTGGTGGTTGCAATTATTTAATAAATGTATGGAAGAGGGTAAGGTACCTAGGGATTGGCAGAGAGCATGCATAGTTCCTTTGTATAAAGGCAAAGGGGACAAAAGAGAGTGCAAAAATTATAGGGGGATAAGTCTGTTGAGTATACCTGGTAAAGTGTATGGTAGAGTTATTATTGAAAGAATTAAGAGTAAGACGGAGAATAGGATAGCAGATGAACAATGAGGCTTTAGGAAAGGTAGGGGGTGTGTAGACCAGGTGTTTACAGTGAAACATATAAGTAAACAGTATTTAGATAAGGCTAAAGAGGTCTTTGTGGCATTTATGGATTTGGAAAAGGCGTATGACAGGGTGGATAGGGGGGCAATGTGGCAGATGTTGCAGGTGTATGGTGTAGGAGGTAGGTTACTGAAAGCAGTGAAGAGTTTTTACGAGGATAGTGAGGCTCAAGTTAGAGTATGTAGGAAAGAGGGAAATTATTTCCCAGTAAAAGTAGGCCTTAGACAAGGATGTGTGATGTCACCGTGGTTGTTTAATATATATATAGATGGGGTTGTAAGAGAAGTAAATGTGAGGGTCTTGACAAGAGGCATGGAGTTAAAAGATAAAGAATCACTCATAAAGTGGGAGTTGTCACAGTTGCTCGTTGCTGATGACACTGTGCTCTTGGGAGATTCTGAAGAGAAGTTGCAGAGATTGGTGGATGAATTTGGTAGGGTGTGCAAAAGAAGAAAATTAAAAGTGAATACAGGAAAGAGTAAGATTATGAGGATAACAAAAAGATTAGGTGATGAAAGATTGGATATCAGGTTGGAGGGAGAGAGTATGGAGGAGGTGAATGTATTTAGATATTTGGGAGTGGACGTGTCAGCGAATGGGTCAATGAAGGATGAGGTGAATCATAGAATTGATGAGGGGAAAAGGGTGAGTGGTGCACTTAGGAGTTTGTGGAGACAAAGAACTTTGTCCTTGGAGGCAAAGAGGGGAATGTATGAGAGCATAGTTTTACCAACGCTCTTATATGGGTGTGAAGCATGGGTGATGAATGTTGCAGCGAGAAGAAGGCTGGAGGCAGTGGAGATGTCATGTCTGAGGGCAATGTGTGGTGTGAATATAATGCAGAGAATTCGTAGTTTGGAAGTTAGGAGGAGGTGCGGGATTACCAAAACTGTTGTCCAGAGGGCTGAGGAAGGGTTGTTTAGGTGGTTCGGACATGTAGAGAGAATGGAGCGAAACAGAATGACTTCAAGAGTGTATCAGTCTGTAGTGGAAGGAAGGCGGGGTAGGGGTCGGCCTAGGAAAGGTTGGAGGGAGGGGGTAAAGGAGGTTTTGTGTGCGAGGGGCTTGGACTTCCAGCAGGCGTGTGTGAGCGTGTTTGATAGGAGTGAATGGAGACGAATGGTTTTTAATACTTGACGTGCTGTTGGAGTGTGAGCAAAGTAACATTTATGAAGGGGTTCAGGGAAACCGGCAGGCCGGACTTGAGTCCTGGAGATGGGAAGTACAGTGCCTGCACTCTGAAGGAGGGGTGTTAATGTTGCAGTTTAAAAACTGTAGTGTAAAGCACCCTTCTGGCAAGACAGTGATGGAGTGAATGATGGTGAAAGTTTTTCTTTTTCGGGCCACCCTGCCTTGGTGGGAATCGGCCAATGTGATAATAATAATAATAATAATAATAATAATAATAAACAAATACAGTTACATAGATTATCATACATAGCAGCATATGTGTAGAGAACCTGGGATAACCCAAAAAAGTCAGACAGAGTGACTTATTTCCATTGCCTTCACTCAGAGTGTCATTTCTTCTCAAAATGGTGTTACATGAGAATGGGAGTGTTCTTCTTTATTTATTCTACCATATCAGTGTAGAGACAACTTGTACACTATGTAACTTGTACACAAACCAGACGTGTACACTTTGTTGTTTACAGAACTTACCTTCGCCTGGTTTGTTTACATAACTCTGCGCCTGTCCTCTCTCATGCACTCATTCTTTCTCTCTCTCATTTATTCATTTTATCTCATTTACTTACTCCTGACCCTACATTAAGACTACAAATATTTTAAGGTAAGTAATGAGTGAACTGTATACATTTTATCGCTCTGGGATGCTTAAATATCATAGAACATATGTGTGGGTGGGTTGGCCTGGTATGGTAGCCCGGCTGACTACCATACATACCACACTTGATTTTTTACAATAAATACTACTCATCTCACCCTAGATTAAGACTACAAATATTTTAAGGTAAGTAATGAGTAAACTGTATATGCATTTTATCACTCTGGGATGCTTAAATGTAATATAATATTATGTGACCTGGTATGGTAGCCCAGCTGACTACCATACATACCACACTTGATTTCTTACAATTAATACTACTTGTCTTACCCTAGATTAAGACTATAAATATTTTAAGGTAAGTAATGAGTACACTATGTGTGTATTGTACTTTTTTATTGTTTTTTGATGCCTAGTTCTATTGCTAACTTAATATATGTTAGTGTAAACTTGTTATCTAGTATTTGTATGCATTTATAAGTGGAAAAAAGGGTGTTCCACTTTACGGCGATTTCCGGTTTACGGCGGTAGCCTGGAACCTAACCTGCCGTATAAGTGGGGTCCTACTGTATTGTTGAATTTCTTTATTGAATCGAGAGTAAAGACAACTCACTGTGCCATTAATTCAAATTAAAGTAAATTTGAGGAAATTTAATCTCAGTAAAATACAATTTCTCTTGATTATCAAAGTGTTGCCTTCTCCAGTTGAGTGCTTTATGTGAGTGTTCCTTGCTCTACAGGGTGACTTGCCATTTTTCTTTACTTATGCAGAATAGTTAAGCATTTTCTTCCCATTTAAGCTTACTGTGTCATATATTCCCTTTGTTATTCTTACTTTATGTTCTTGAGTAAGTTCCCTGAGAAGATGTCCCACTCACTTTTGTTTGCTCACTTAGTGTATAATGCCAGTTAAAGTAAATATGAATCAGCCCACTGTCCTAATATTCCCTTACTGACTGAAAGACAATACCTAGCCCTTGAGCAATGTGTTTGTTCTCACAGCTTGTATCTGAGATTTGTCACAGTGCTATGAAATGTGAAGTACAGATTAAGTTCCTACAGATCTGTGAATTACTTATTAATGTAGCCAAGCAGTCAGGCATTAGGACGACTGTCACTCCTGTCTGGAATCCAGCCACAATATCATGCATGCAGGATAGTGTACATTTACCTTGGGTTTCAGAGGAACCTCAGACAACCCTGGGTGCTGAGACTACTATTCCTGCGATGGTGACTTGTTCAAGTAGTCGTTCCTCCCAGGGGACGCTTTGTGAAGAACGTTACTTGCAGTGAGTTATGCCATCTCTTGCTGATGTCACAAGCCATTGCAGAAGGAAGTTTCTGTGGCTAGTGTACTCACTTGAGTGTTGTTGTTGTTCCTTGTTTTCCAGATAGTGATGCCATCTTCGTTGACAGTAATCCTTGCAATGTAAAAAAGTTATTTCTCGAGTAACCTTCACGTGTTAACATTTGTAAGTGCAGTCTCTATAGTTGACACCTTGTGTCACAGTATTCAACTGAGAAGAAATACCAGTATTGTCAACAGTGTTCATTACTTTTACCCTGTGCTTGCAGTGAGAGATAGTAGATCCGTTCTCCCTTGCTCATATTGCATGTTATAGCGTTACTTTTTTCAACTGGGGAGAGTCATCCACTCACCCAGTTTGTCTATTCCTCCAGTAAGAAAGAAAAGATCCCTTGTGTGTTTTGTTACTAGCTGATCAGTTTCAAATTTCTTTTTTTTTTTTTTTGTTTACATTCCCTCCGAATTCTGAGATTTAGCAGTAATGATCTGTGTGCACCAGGTCTGCCTTTGCTGTTAATTACTTTCACCTTTGTAAATATACATTCTTCCTCAGAATTCGTAGAGTGCATGAATACAGATCGATCAATCAAGTCTATCTTTTTAGTACTGTGATTTGTTACTTTAATTCGTAATGCATTACGATAACATTCATTATGTAACTCACCATCCATTAATATACATCCATTCAAATATTACCCATTCAACTGAGTATATCCTATAACCATTTCTGTGATTAGTTCTAAATTATCTATGTCTTTGCTGTTGTATAGAATCAGCCAAGAGCCACCTGCCTGTCAGCCTGTAGAGTATGGTATGCCGAGACGACATACATAACATGACCGAGCTGTCAGTATAGCTACTGAATTCCCAATACTTATACTTGTGTAGTATATTGTAGATCGTATCATCCATGTATACATTTAGGCTCCCTGCTCAGCTAGGCCCAGTGGTTAGCATGTGTGACATCATGGGATGCCACATGTGAGCATCAGATGCGCTGTCTCTCCCTCAGTCCATAGATAAACCTACAGGCAACAGGACAGGCTGGCCTAGGCTCCCCTCTTACACTCAACTAATATAAATGATTTCAACCCAACAAGTGTGTTTATCTCCAACCAATATATCTCCACAGAACCCTCCCAACAAGCTGGCATACGAACCACATCCCGGTTGGTCAAGTACTGACTTTAGGTACCCCTCCAGTGCCTTCTTGAAGACAGCCAGGGGTCTATTGGTAATCCCTCTTATGTATGCTGGGAGGCAGTTGAATAGTCTTGGGCCCCGGACACTTATTGTGCTGTCTCTCAGTGTACTCGTGGCATCTCTCCTTTCCATCAGGGAAAGGTTGCATCTCCTGCCAAGTCTTTTGCTTTCATATAGAGTGATTTTAATGTTCAGGTTTGGTACCAATCCCTCCAGGACCTTCCAAGTGTATATAATCATGTATCTCTTTTGCCTGCATTTGAGGGAATACAGATCAAGGACTTTCAACTGTTCCCAGTAGTTTAGGTGCCTTATCCCACTTATGTGTTCCGTGAAAGTTCTTTGTACACTCTCCAGGTCTGCAATGTCACCAGTCTTGAAGGGGGTTGTTAGTGTACAGCAGTATTCCAACCTAGAGAGCACAAGCTATTTGAAGAGAATCATCATGGGCTTGGCATCCCTAGTTTTGAAGGTTCTTGTTATCCATCCTCTCATTTTCCTAGCAGATGAGGTAGATACATTATTGTTGTCTTTGAAGGCGAGATCCTCTGACATTATCACTTCCAGGTCCTTCATATTACTTTTCTGCTCTATTGTATGGTTAGAATTTGTGGTATACCCTGACATATTTTTAATTTCTTCAAGTTGAAATTTCTCCTCGTTGAGCTTCATGTTGTTTTTAGATGGCCCATTCAAAAATTTGGTTGATATCCGCTTGGAGTCTTACAATGTCTTCGATGGAGGTCACTGCCATGGTGATCCGGGTGTCATCCACAAAGGAAGACATGGAGCTATGGCTTACATCTCTATGTCAGAAATGAGGATGAGGAATAGAATGTGAGCGAGTACTGTGCCTTGTGGAACAGAGCTTTTTACCATGGCTGCCTGGGACTTTACTCTGTTTACTATTTCTCTTTGTGTTCTATTTGTCAGGAAGTTGTAGATCCATCTACCATCTTTTCCTGTTATTCCTTTAGCATTTTGTGTGCTATTACACCATGGTCACACTCGTCGAAAGCTTTTGCTAAGCCTGTGTATACTACACCTGTATTTTGTTTATCCTCTACAGCATCCAGGACCTTGTCATAATGGTCCAGTAGCTAGGACAGGCAGGAGCGACCTGCTCTAAACCCATGTTGCTCTGGGTTGTGTAACTGAAGGGTATCTAGGTGGTTGGCTATCTTTCTTAGAACCCTCTCAAAGATTTTTATGATATGGGATGTTAGTGCTATTGGTCTGTAGGTCTTTGCCATTGCTTTACTGCTACCTTTGTGGAATGGGGCTATGTCTGTTGTTTTTAGTGTGTGTGGGATGACCCCTGTGTCCATGCTCTCTCTCCATAAAATGCTGAAGGCAATTCTTGATGAACACGGAGTTTCAAGAGTCTGGCCCTGGGGCAGAGTGCATGGGCATGTCATGTCATGTGGAATTAGAATAATGTCTGAGAGTTTTGGGATGACCAAATTTTGGGCTTCGTTGATAAAGAATTCATTTGGATTGTCGACCCTTAGAGTGGGCAGTGGATCGCTGAACACTGAGTCATATTGAGACTTTAGTATGTCACTCATTTCTTGGCTGTCATCTGTGTATGTTCCATCCCACCTAAGCAGGGGCCCAATACTGGATGTTGTTTTTCCCTTAGATTTGGCATAAGAGAAGAAGTATATTGGGTTTTTATCAATTTCCTTTATGGTTTTTAGTTCTTACTGTGATTCTTCATTCCTATAAGATTCCTTCAGCTTAAGTTCAATATTTGCAATTTCATTGACTAGTGCTTCCCTTCGTATTTCAGATATATTGACCCCACTTAGCAGCTCTGTGACTCTTCGCCTTTGTCTGTATAGGGAACATCTCTTTCTAGTTTATATCTTCTCTTTCTTTTTCTTAATTGAATGTATCTTGAGCAGATTTCAAGAACCACAGAATTCATTTTTTCAAGTCAGATGTTTTGATCCGTGTTGTTTCAGGTGGTATAGGATTATTGTCATTTCTTGCCAGTCTTTTTATCCTTCTGGCTCTAAAAAACCTATGTCCCTGGAGAGGTTGTGGCTCCTCTCTTTTGTTTCCAATAGTCTGGCTGGTCTGTGTCTTCTAGTCCCCTTTAGATGATGTGCCTGGCAGTATGATGTGCCTGGCAGAATGCATTGTAGCATTTTCTTTCATGGATTGATGAGTGACACATTTCTGGGTGAAATAAGTTGCAAGAAGGGAAGTTGCATTCACCTGCTGTCATGTGGGTGCAGCATTTTTTGGGATGGTTAAAGGTGCATGTCCCACCTGTTTTACAAGATATACTGTGCCTGCAGATGCTCAAGACATAGTATTTAAATAGATTGCACTTGTGTTTGCTAGGATTTATTATAGCTGTGTTCACTACTGGTGCATTTATTCTTGTTTCCTCAATATCTTTTACCCCTGTATGGACATCAGTGCTTCCACCAGGTTTTGCTGGTAATGTGTCAACACTATTCCCTGAGGCATCATCCCATTTTGATGCATCTCCAGCAGTATATTTTGAACCTCTGTGGACTGAAAAAGGTTGTCTTCAGTGTCCTCCAGAACAACACTAGTACCCTCATGAGTGCTATCTTTTAAGACATCACTAGGACCCTCAGGAGCACTTTCCTCCAGGGCAATGCTAGCACCCTCAACACTGTCCTCCAGGACAACACTAGCCCCCTCAGGAGCACTGCTGACATGTCTTTTGAGAAGTATGTTTTATTGGTGTTCTTGTCTTTTAATATAGATGTCATTTCCTAATACAGGTGTATCTTGTTTGGGCAGACACAAAAACATCTGTCTGAATTTATGTTGAGTGTGGTTACTAGTTTAAAATCCCTGCATATACTATGGTCTCACTGGCCACACAGATGACAGGCAATCCAGGCCTGTCTTCATTCCTTACCCTTTCTGCAGACTACACAGATCTTCATGGTTGTGGTCATCTTACAGTACTAGACAACTCTCGTAGCTAGCTAGTCTATAATTCCCCTATGTATTTAATTTTTTTTTAACAGTTCTTCTGATTTGGCTTTATTTCCAACAAAACCATTTAAATCTGCTCGAATCCGGCTTTATTTCCACAAAAAGCATTTGAATCTGCCCGAATCCAGCAAAATCTGTTCGAACCCTCCCGAATCCAGCTAAACTGGAAGAATCCAGTTAGTGGATCACTGTATATCTTTTTTCTAATAAGCACCTTAACAGTAGATCTGTCTATCTGTGTTGTAACTATTTGTTGTAGTTACTGTTTGAGTGTTTGATAGGGTGTGTAAAGCCCCGTCAGTTAGTGAAACCAGTCAAAGGATATATTGTTATCAAAGAATCCATTTGAATCCGGTCGTTGGATGTATCTAGGCAGATCCGGATTAGGCTGAGTGGGTGATTTTGGACTAGCTCATGAAAAGGAATCCTGGAAAAAAATTAAACAGTTATATGTGTTCAGTTTGATACAGAAAGTTTAACTTGTGTGTTTGGGCACCGCTGGCATCAGTATATGGAGATTACTGGAGGAATAATGATTTTCATTGTGTGTATAGTGACCGCTGTTAACTACAGGTTTGTCACACACTGTATACGTCACTCCATCACAATAGGTACTAACAACTATAACTGTTTATCACATTTCTACAAAACTGTATACTTTTCATATGGTGACATGGCACACGGCACGGCACAATATATCTGTTGGGAAGTTTCACTTCATCTGGCAGTGGGGCAGATGGTGGGGTGACAACAGTGTTCTGGGTTGGTAATATAATGTAGATTTGGGTGGTTTCTGCAGTTGATTTATGTCATTTTGGTTCTCCACATATTATGTTATGTGTGTCTTTGCTAAACTGTCACAGAATTGTTAGGATGCCTCCATTGCTTGTAAAACAGAGGAGCTGCAGCAGCAGTGGCAGCATAGAGCATGAGAAAGACGATTCTGCAACGTATGTAATACATGTTTAGCTGGCAGCCTGCTCTGGTTCTCTTTCTCTCAAAAAGCCACTCATGAACCTGATCATCAACTAGGCAAACAGGTATTACACATGTTGCAGAATCATCAGGCTGCATAGATGGAAAGATACAACTGTGGCTGAAATGTGAATAGTCAATGCCACAATCATGCTTATGCCTCATATCTACAAACACAGTATAGTAAAGTACTGGTTCTCAGACTGTTACACCAAGGACCCTACTAAAAATGTCACTAAAAGTGTTATTTTGTCGAATATTTTCACTCGAGTAGTTCCACTCAGCCTTGTAGTGCTCTATCACCCAGTGTGACATATTGTGAGAATATAAAATAATTATAATGAAAGATAAATTTTCATTATTTTTTTTTCAGGTCTTCCTGGCAGTACTTACAGTGTCAATGCTGTAGGTTATTCTGACAAACATGAGGCTGGCCCTTGTATAGTCAACACTGTAGGTCATTGTGGCACCAGAGGCTGGCACTTGTAGTGTCAGTACTGTAGGTCATCCTGACACCAGAGGCTGGCACCTGAAGTGTCAATGCTGTAAGTCATCTTGCTGCCCAAGGCTGGCACTTGTAATGTCAATACTGTAAGTCTTCCTGGTGCCAGAGGCTGGCACTTGTAGTGTTAGTACTGTAAGTCATCCTGCTGCCCGAGGCTGGCACTTGTGGGCCGACATCAGTGTTAGAAATCTTTTCTAAGTTCTGTAAATACTGTAATTTATATATAGTGACAACACTAGCTGCAGTGTTAGTAATATAACAATGGCACTACAGTGTTAATAATACACTGACAACACATTCTAGGGTGTTAATGATAGTGGCAACACTAACCACAGTGGTAATAATACAGTGACAATAGTTGCAATGTTAACAACCAAGTGACAACAACTACAGTGTTAATAATACAGTGACAACACTTGCAACAGTGTTAATACAGTGATAACACCAGCTACAGTGTTTATACAGTGATGACACTAGCAACAGTGTTTATAGTGACAACACTAGCAACAATGTTAAAACAGTGACAATACTAGGAACAGTGATAATACAGTGACAACACTAGCAACAGAGTTAATACAGTGATAACACTAGCAACAGTGTTTATACAGTGACAACACTAGCAACAATGTTAAAACAGTGACAACACTAGCAACAGTGTTAATACAGTGACAACACTAGCAACAGTGTTTATATAGTGACAACACTAGCAACAATGTTAAAACAGTGACAACACTAGCAACAGTGTTAATGCAGTGACAACACTAGCAGCAGTGTTAATACAGTGACAACACTAGCAAGAGTGTTTATACATGAGAACACTAGCAACAATGTTAAAACAGTGACAACACTAGCAACAGTGTTAATACAGTGACATTACCTGGAGTTTACCTGGAGAGAGTTCCGGGGGTCAACGCCCCTGCGGCCTGGTCTGTGACCAGGCCTCCTGGTGGATCAGAGCCTGATCAACCAGGCTGTTACTGCTGGCTGCACGCAAACCAACGTACGAGCCACAGCCTGGCTGGTCAGGTACCGACTTTAAGTGCTTGTCCAGTGCCAGCTTGAAGACTGCCAGGGGTCTGTTGGTAATCCCCCTTAGCAACAGTGTTAATACAGTGACAACACAAACAGTGTTTATACAGTGACAACACTAGCAACAATGTTAAAACAGTGACAACACTAGCAATAGTGTTAATGCAGTGACAACACTAGCAACAGTGTTTATACAGTGACAACACTAGCAACAGTGTTAAAACAGTGATAACACTAACAACAATGTTAATACAGTGACAACACTAACAACAGTGTTAATACAGTGGCAACACTAGCAGCAGTACTAATACACTGACAACACTAGCAACAGAGTTAATACAATGACAACACTTACTGTAGTTTAAGTAATAGAGTGACAACACTTATTGTAGTTTAAATAATAGTGACAACACTACAGTGACAACTAATTACAGTTAATGATACAGTGACAAGTAATTACAGAATTAATAATATTGACTGCACTGTAGGGTTAATACAATAACAACACTATCTTCAGTGTTATTAACAGTAACAACACTAGGAGTAGTATTAATACAGTGATAATACATTGTTAATAGTAACAACACTAACAACAATGTTGGTAATATATTTACAGTGTCTACAGCATGGGTGATAAATATTAGAGTATCTGCTAGTGTCACCCTATATCTCAGATACTATATTACCCTCACAAGTTTAGTGTTTGCTGTATGTATAATCGAATATTGCAATAATATTAGTTTTCAGTGTGATAAAAAATTTTGAAAATCTCCTCTGGTTAAGAAGTTTAATTAATATATGAGAATATTATTGTTGACTATGTCTGAAACATACGATAAACAAGGTATTGAAGCAACACACAATACAGTTGTTCATGTAGGAGACCAATTAGATCAACATTCACACTTGCTAAAACATTCTTTGCAACAACCTCACTCTGAATTTGTGACCAAATTAATAGTTGGCAAAAAAACATTTCAGTGTTCAGTGTGTTTAAAAGAGTTTTCTCACAAATGTAATTTAATAAGTCATATGAGGACTCATACAGGAGAGAAACCATATCAGTGTTCAAACTGTGTAAAAAACTTTTCTCAAAACTCTCAATTAGTAAGACACATGAGAAGTCATACTGGAGAGAAACCATATAAGTGTTCAGAATGTCTGAAAGACTTTTCTTTAAAAGCATGCTTAGTAAGCCACATGAGAACTCATACTGGGGAAAAACCATATCAGTGTTCAGAATGTCTGAAAGACTTTTCTATGAAATGTAATTTAGTACAACATATGAGAACTCATACTGGATGGCAACCATATCAGTGTCCAGAATGTCTGAAAGGCTTTTCTCAAAAATATAATTTAATACGTCACATGAGAAGTCATACTGGAGAGAAACCATTTCAGTGCTCAGAATGTCTGACAGATTTTTCTCATAAATCAAGTTTAATAATTCACATGAGAACTCATTCTGGAGAGAAACCATATAAGTGTTCAGAATGTCTGAAAGACTTTTCTAAAAAATCAGGTTTAGTAATTCATATGAGAAGTCATACTGGAGAGAAACCATATCAGTGTTCAGAATGTCTGAAAGACTTTTCTCAAAAATCAAGTTTAGTAATTCACATGAGAAGTCATACTGGAGAGAAACCATATAAGTGCTCAGAATGTTTGAAAAGCTTTACTCAGAAGCCATATTTATTAAATCACATAACCACTCATACTAGAGAAAAACTAAAAGAGTGATCAGAATGTCCTAAAAATTTCAGCAACAAATCAGGTTTAGTAAAACACTCGACAACTCATACTGGAGAGAAACCATATAAGTATTCAGTGTGTTTAAAAAACAGTTTCGCTTGAATTTATTTTAGTAAAACAAACAAGAATTCGTACAAGTTAGAAATTGTATCAATGTCCTTTATCTAAAAGTCTATTCATTTAACCCTTAAACGGTCCAAACAGATCGACGTTCAAATCCGTAGTGCTCCAAACGTAGATCTACTTTTTTTTACATATTTTCGAACATAAAAAAACAAATGTAGATAAAAGTTTTTTTACACATTTTCAAATTAAAAAGAAAAAAGATGATCTACATTTTTTTACATACTTTCAAATGTTGCAAAAACGTATATATACGTTTGGACCATTTAATTGTTAAATCTGAGATTGACTTAGGCATATTAATTCCAAGAGTTTTTCTACTCCCAGATCTAGGCCTTGGGTGCCAGGCTTTTTGGACAGTGCACTGGGTGCAGAAAAATCTGTGGTATGCAGTGCGGAAACAAAAGTTTGTCACAGCTTGGTTCCAGTCCAGGTCACACAGGATTAAAAACAGAATGAAATCAAAACATCAGATTCCAGGGTATTAATTTTTTTATTATTATTATTATCACACTGGCCGATTCCCACCAAGGCAGGGTGGCCCGAAAAAGAAAAACTTTCACCATCATTCACTCCATCACTGTCTTGCCAGAAGGGTGCTTTACACTACAGTTTTTAAACTGCAACATTAACACCCCTCCTTCAGAGTGCAGGCACTGTACTTCCCATCTCCAGGACTCAAGTCCGGCCTGCCGGTTTCCCTGAATCCCTTCATAAATGTTACTTTGCTCACACTCCAACAGCACGTCAAGTATTAAAAACCATTTGTCTCCATTCACTCCTATCAAACACGCTCACGCATGCCTGCTGGAAGTCCAAGCCCCTCGCACACAAAACCTCCTTTACCCCCTCCCTCCAACCCTTCCTAGGCCGACCCCTACCCCGCCTTCCTTCCACTACAGACTGATACACTCTTGAAGTTATTCTGTTTCGCTCCATTCTCTCTACATGTCCGAACCACCTCAACAACCCTTCCTCAGCCCTCTGGACAACAGTTTTGGTAATCCCGCACCTCCCCTAACTTCCAAACTACGAATTCTCTGCATTATATTCACACCACACATTGCCCTCAGACATGACATCTCCACTGCCTCCAGCCTTCTCGCTGCAACATTCATCACCCATGCTTCACACCCATATAAGAGCGTTGGTAAAACTATACTCTCATACATTCCCCTCTTTGCCTCCAAGGACAAAGTTCTCTGTCTCCACAGACTCCTAAGTGCACCACTCACTCTTTTTCCCTCATCAATTCTATGATTCACCTCATCTTTCATAGACCCATCCGCTGACACGTCCACTCCCAAATATCTGAATACGTTCACCTCCTCCATACTCTCTCCCCCCAATCTGATATTCAATCTTTCATCACCTAATCTTTTTGTTATCCTCATAACCTTACTCTTTCCTGTATTCACCTTTAATTTTCTTCTTTTGCACACCCTACCAAATTCATCCACCAATCTCTGCAGCTTCTCTTCAGAATCTCCCAAGAGCACAGTGTCATCAGCAAAGAGCAGCTGTGACAACTCCCACCCTGTGTGTGATTCTTTATCTTTTAACTCCACGCCTCTTCCCAAAGACCCTCGCATTTACTTCTCTTACAACCCATCTATAAATATATTAAACAACCACGGTGACATCACACATCCTTGTCTAAGGCCTACTTTTACTGGGAAAAAATTTCCCTCTTTTCTACATACTCTAACTTGAGCCTCACTATCCTCGTAAAAACTCTTCACTGCTTTCAGTACCTACCTCCTACACCATACACTTGCAACATCTGCCACATTGCCCCCCTATCCACCCTGTCATACGCCTTTTCCAAATCCATAAATGCCACAAAGACCTCTTTAGCCTTATCTAAAAAACTGTTCACTTATATGTTTCACTGTAAACACCTGGGCCACACACCCCCTACCTTTCCTAAAGCCTCCTTGTTCATCTGCTATCCTATTCTCCGTCTTACTCTTAATTCTTTCAATTATAACTCTACCATACACTTTACCAGGTACACTCAACAGACTTATCCCCCTATAATTTTTGCACTCTCTTTTATCCCCTTTGCCTTTATACAAAGGAACTATGCATGCTCTCTGCCAATCCCTAGGTACCTTACCCTCTTCCATACATTTATTAAATAATTGCACCAACCACTCCAAAACTATATCCCCACCTGCTTTTAACATTTCTATCTTTATCCCATCAATCCCGGCTGCCTTACCCCCTCATTTTACCTACTGCCTCACGAACTTCCCCCACACTCACAACTGGCTCTTCCTCACTCCTACAAGATGTTATTCCTCCTTGCCCTATACACGAAATCACAGCTTCCCTATCTTCATCAACATTTAACAATTCCTCAAAATATTCCCTCCATCTTCCCAATACCTCTAACTCTCCATTTAATAACTCTCCTCTCCTATTTTTAACTGACAAATCCATTTGTTCTCTAGGCTTCCTTAACTTGTTAATCTCACTCCAAAACTTTTTCTTATTTTCAACAAAATTTGTTGATAACAGCTCACCCACTCTCTCATTTGCTCTCTTTTTACATTGCTTCACCACTCTCTTAACCTCTCTCTTTTTTCTCCATATACTCTTCCCTCCTTGCATCACTTCTACTTTGTAAAAACTTCTCATATGCTAACTTTTTTCCCTTACTACTCTCTTTACATCATCATTCCACCAATCGCTCCTCTTCCCTCCTGCACCCACTTTCCTGTAACCACAAACTTCTGCTGAACACTCTAACACTACATTTTTAAACCTACCCCATTCCTCTTCGACCCATTGTCTATGCTCTCATTAGCCCATCTATCCTCCAATAGCTGTTTATATCTTACCCTAACTGCCTCCTCTTTTAGTTTTTTAAACCTTCACCTCTCTCTTCCCTGATGCTTCTATTCTCCTTGTATCCCATCTACCTTTTACTCTCAGTGTAGCTACAACTAGAAAGTGATCTGATATATCTGTGGCCCCTCGATAAACATGTACATCCTGAAGTCTACTCAACAGTCTTTTATCTACTAATACATAATCCAACAAACTACTGTCATTTCGCCCTACATCATATCGTGTATACTTATTTATCCTCTTTTTCTTAAAATATGTATTACCTATAACTAAACCCCTTTCTATACAAAGTTCAATCAAAGGGCTCCATTATCATTTACACCTGGCACCCCAAACTTACCTACCACACACCCTCTCTAAAAGTTTCTCCTACTTTAGCATTCAGGTCCCCTACCACAATTACTCTCTCACTTGGTTCAAAGGCTCCTATACATTCACTTAACATCTCCCAAAATCTCTCTCTCTCCTCTGCATTCCTCTCTTCTCCAGGTGCATACACGCTTATTATGACCCACTTCTCGCATCCAACCTTTACTTTAATCCACATAATTCTCGAATTTACACATTCATATTCTCTTTCTCCTTCCATAACTGATCATTTAACATTACTGCTACCCCTTCCTTTGCTCTAACTCTCTCAGATACTCCAGATTTAATCCCATTTATTTCCCCCCACTGAAACTCTCCTACCCCCTTCAGCTTTGTTTCGCTTAGAGCCAGGACATCCAACTTCTTTTCATTCATAACATCAGCAATCATCTGTTTCTTGTCATCCGCACTACATCCACGCACATTTAAACAACCCAGTTTTATAAAGTTTTTCTTCTTCTCTTTTTAGTAAATGTATACAGGAGAAGGGGTTACTAGCCCATTGCTCCCGGCATTTTAGTCGCCTCATACGACACGCATGGCTTACGGAGGAAAGATTCTTTTCCACTTCCCCATGGACAATAGAAGAAATAAAAAAGAACAAGAGCTATTTAGAATAAGGAGAAAAACCTAGATGTATGTATATATATATATGCATGTGCGTGTCTGTGAAGTGTGACCAAAGTGTAAGTAGGAGTAGCAAGATATCCCTGTTATCTAGCGTGTTTAAGAGACAGAAAAAGAAAACCAGCAATCCTACCATCATGCAAAACAGTTACAGGTTTTTGTTTCACAGTCATCTGGCAGGACGGTAGTACTTCCCTGGGTGGTTGCTGTCTACCAACACAAATAACCCGCACATAAAGGAGAGAAGCTTGTGACGACGTTTCGGTCTGACTTGGACCATTTACAAAGTCACACTAACCAGAAATGGAGCAGGACGGCTGTATATAGGCAGGAAGAGGTGGTGGTGGTAGTAGTAGTAGTAGTAGTAGTGGTTAGTGTGACTTTGTAAATGGTCCAAGTCAGACCGAAACGTCGTCATAAGCTTCTCTCTTTTATGTGCGGGTTATTTGTGTATCGTTCCAGTCACGGTATTGTGCCTTTTTTTGTTATTAATAAGAACATAAGAAAAGAACACTTCAACAGGCCTACTGACCCATGCAGAGCAGGTCCATGTCTTCCCCCCAGATTAGATCATTGACCCACCCCCCCGGATTATCCCAACGACCCACCCAGTCTGGTCACCTCCACTCAAGGATGGGGCACTGCACCAGACCCAGCAGCACAAGCTAGTCAGGTCCAACTCACACCTACCCACACCCACTCATGCATTTATCTAACCTATTTTTAAAACTACGCAATGTTTTAGCCTCAATAACTGTACTCGGGAGTTTGTTCCACTCATCCACAACTCTATTACCAAACCAGTTCTTTCCTATATCCTTCCGTTTTAATGTTTTATGTTTCCAAGCTTCAGGGCTGGTGCAGGTCTCTTGATCTGAAGAACTGTACCAATGCTCTAATTCCTTTCATTGATCCTGAATGCCTTTCATTCCCCCCAGGTGATGTGCAACCCCTACAGGTTTACTACTTCCCCATGAGTGTAATAATGTGTTTTTATGAGCTCCCTAATAAAGATCATTCAAGCAGATAAGTTTTGCACAGTCTTTTCCAAAGTGATTATATTCTTGCAAACATTTTGCTGAGGTAGTAGGTTGGTAGACAGGAACCACCCAGGGAAGTACTACCATCCTGCCAGATGTCTGTGGAACAGAAACCTGTAACTGTTTTACATGATGGTA